TCGGGTCTTCGATATCTCCAAATCACCCATCGAGCAAGGATTCGAGGCGGGAACTTACGACATCATTCTTGCTCCGAACGTCGTTCATGCTACACCATCACTGAATGAGACGCTGGGAAACCTGCAAACTTTGCTTCGCCTCGGTGGCCTTCTTGTTTTGACAGAGCTCTGTGCCGTCGTACGAACTCCGAACTTTGTATTTGGCAACTTCTCCGGCTGGTGGCTTGGCAAGGCAGACGGGCGGCCCTATGAGCCCTATGTCCCAGTTGAACGTTGGGATGATGAGCTCAAGGCAGCTGGATTCAGCGGCGTCGACACTTCTATCTGCGATGCTGAAGCACCTTACCACTACTGCGCCGCCATTGTGTCAAGCAAGCCGCTCACTGATGCAGTGGAACCAACCACACCTCGACCCGTCACTATTCTTTGCGACATGCCCGAAAATGGTATTAGCAAACGTTTCATTGATGACCTTATACTTGCAGGCGTGCCCACTACGGTCTGCAGTTTGTATGAAACACCCCCCGCAGATCAGGAGGTCATCTCACTCCTCGACCTCGAGGGATCTTTCTTCGAAGATTTGTCTTCTGAGCGCCTTGCGGCTTTCCAGAACGCTCTGAACAGAGACACCGCGAATCCAACCATTCTTTGGGTACTCCGACCGACGCAAATGAAATGTCAAGACCCTCGATCGGGTCAGGCCATTGGTGTTGCCCGATCTATCCGTGCCGAGTCCACAGTGCCTTTTTACACCTTGGAGATCAGCCAAGATGAGAGAGATTTCTCAAAGCTGGTACTGGGTGTTTGGAAGAAGATCATCAATTCCGAAGACAATGAACTGCTGAGTCCCGACAAAGAATATGTCGTCGACGAAGGGATAGTCAAGGTCAGTCGTTATCGGCCTTTTTTGGTCGGAAAAGAAATATCTCAATCGGAAGTCGAAGAAGGCGTGTCGAGCATCAAATCGCTCAACATTGTGACCACTGGCCAACTAGACACACTGCAATGGGCTCAAGAGCCCCTCGAGCCCGAGGTGCAGAGCGGCGATGTTCTCATCGACACTCGGGCCATTGGCCTCAACTTCAAGGTAAGGCGACTGACCAACTCCCAAAGCCCAAGAACCATTCACTCACAATACGACTAGGACATCCTGTATGCAATGGGAATTTTGCGTTCTGGCAAAGACGAAGTCCCTTTGGGGCTTGAAGTCGCCGGCGTTGTCCGGAAAATAGGTGCAGATGTTACGGATATGTTGATTGGAGATCGTGTTCTGGCAATGCCACCGTTTGCCTGCGCAAAGACCGCTGTCGCCGTTCCTTCAAACCTGGTTCAGAAGATCCCAGATAGTCTGAGCTTCGAAGACGCGGCCACGATGCCCATCTGCTATGCCACAGTGATCGAATCCTTGATCAATATTGGTCAACTAGAGAAGGGCCAGTCAGTCCTGATCCACTCTGCTACTGGAGGCGTGGGTCATGCTGCAATTCAGATTTGTCGAATGCTTGGGGCAGAGGTATTCATTGCGAGATTTTGTAGTTCGAGACGTGTTGAAACTGACAATTTTCACAGATTTATGTGACTGTTGGCAGTGATGCAAAGGTGGAGTATCTCATGTCAAACTTTGATGTTCCTCGCGATCATATTTTCCACTCCCACGATGCCTCTTTTGCAACCAAATTGATGCAAGTAACAAAAACTCGCGGTGTTGACATAGTTCTCAATTCACTGTCCGGTGAACTGCTACACGCGTCATGGGACTGCGTTGCAGAGTTCGGTAAGATGATCGAGCTCGGGAAGAAGGATGGCACGGAGTTTGGCAAACTGCAGATGAACAACTTCTTGTTGAATCGCTCCTACTGCTGCGTGGATATGACTCATCTCGCTCAGTTGCGACCACAGCGAGTGAAAATGTGAGTATTTATTTATCCCTTCGTTTGACCAAAACGGATATCTGACTAGCTCTACAGGATTCTAACGAAAATGGTTGAGCTCTACTCGACTGGCCACATTCAACCTCTTCATCCGCTCACGTCATTTGAGGCTGGAAAGGCTCAAGATGCTTTCCGTCATGTTCAAAACCGTGATCACATCGGGAAAGCTGTAATCAATGTGCCGTCGGATTTCTCAGTCGTTTCAAGTCTTCCCAAAGCTACGAAATTACAATTGAACCCAGCTTCATCCTATTTACTTACTGGTGGCCTAGGGGGCCTCGGAAAAGTGATCTCGACATGGCTGGTTGAACGAGGCGCGCGCTCTCTCGTTTTCCTGTCTCGAGGCGCTGGATCACCAGAGAATTGGAATTTCCTCCGGGAACTAGAGAGCACCGGTTGCACAGTCACTATTGTGCCCGGTAAAGCAGAGTCGCCAGACGATATCAATGCAGCAATTTCAAAGGCACCAAATCCTATTCGAGGTGTCATCCACCTAGCTATGGTGCTCAAGGTAAATAATCTGACTACCCCATATTTCCCCCTTATTTCGTGGAAAGTAGACTAACAGTAGATGTTTTAGGACTCGCCAATCGCTAACATGGCACATTCCGACTGGCTCGCGGCGAACGCTCCTAAGGTCACCGGGGCGTGGAATATTCACGAAGCGTTCAAGGAAGGAAACGCCCTTGATTTCTTCGTGCTTGCTAGCTCGGTGATTACTGTCGTTGAGCAGCCCGGTCAAGGAAATTACAGTGCTGCCAACACGTATCTCGAAGCGTTCTGCCAGTGGCGGCGGTCCCTGTCCTTGCCAGCCTCAGTACTGAACATCTGTCCCATTGACGGTGTGGGATTTGTCGCAGAGAACCAACTCGCGCGCAAGAACATGAAAGCCCAGGGTCTCTACTTCCTTGGCGAGAGCGAGCTGCTGGATTTCATGGAGTTGTCTATATTGACTTCGCGCCCCATTGCTGTGACTCGGCCAGAGGATCTCAAGACAGGCTGGAAGAACCCTGGACAAATTGTGATGGGTTTGAAGTCCGCGGAAGATCTCAACGACACCAACACCCGCACAAACTGGCGCCGGGATCGCCGTATGGGCTTCTATCACAACAGTGTTGAAAAGGTTGAAAGCGGCCGAGGAAGCTCGAACGAATTGAAGCAATTCTTGGCTAATGTCAGTAACGACCCTGACATATTGGAGCGCCACGGATCCGTGGTTTATCTGGCAACTGAGATTGGTCGCAAGATTTACAGCTTTATGCTGAAATCAGAAGAGGACTTGGAAATCGCTGTCTCACTGAAGCAAATTGGCTTGGATTCTCTCATGGCTATTGGGCTTCATCGTTGGTTGAAGTTGACACTTGGACTTCAAATCAGCATCTTGGAGATTATGTCGACTGGGTCGATTGAGGCATTGGGATCGCTAGCTGCGAAACATCTACGGGCCTTGTACATTGGTGAGTGCAAGTAGACACGGTCCTTCTTTTGCTTGAGTGATAGATTTAAATTCGGGTTGGTTACTGCTATTGGCCTTTTTGCTCTTTGGCAAAGGCTTATTACACAGTCTCTAGAATAAAAGAGTTCTCCGGTGACTCTGTGCTCCTCTAAATGCTAGTTCCTGCAAGCTGTCCGGAAAAGGGGGCTTTCGTTAGCTTGGCCCGTAAGCATCCCTCGTTGTCTTTTAGAAGATGGGTCATGTCTTCAGTAGCGTTCCGCAAAGCCCAACCTAACCCGCCCATTAAGGGGGGTTTACCCAGCATCTAATAATCGTTGTATTCTAACCTTCTACTTATGATATAGAGATTCAAATTTTAGAATTTAGAATACTAATGGCTATATATGTATATATTCTAATTTTGAATAAAATCTAACCAGTAGAAGTTGAGATACTATTAATCTTAATGTTTTGATGAGATGTATATTTTTGGTTTGCACAGGAGTACTGCGACGGAGTACTTCCCACTTTCCGAGAGTCGCATAGCCGCTACTAGGCCAGCCAGTCCACCGCCCACAATCTATCGATATGGAAAGTTGTGTTAGTGATGATTTCCATGCTAAAGAAGCTGGAGAGTGAATAGAACATGCGACATAGTCAAAGGTCTGGTTCTGACCTGCTACCCCGAACGAACTACTTCTCGGTTTCGAGAATGATTGACCAGCCGAGAGCTCAGCAGAAAGGAAGAGATATAATATATAGCCGAGCTTCATTATGATTGCGGCTCGTTGGCAAAGATTGAGAGAACGTTGGAGCTACCCACGACGTAGATCGAATTATAGAACAGTATACACTTTTCTTATGAGCTAAACGAACTTCCATTAACTATTTATAAGTGTATTATAAACGTGAATTAGAGAGTAACGTATGTATCAGCCATGGAAATCCTTAGGAAGCAACACCTCGTAAGTGTGAGATTACTGTAGGAGCATTACTCGTGCCCCAAAAGAAAAGAGCAGCTAAAATAACTAATTGAGCAGCTAGCCACGCAAAAAGCTGGAGTTTGCGCCTTCTAGTATGGTCCTGCATGCTGCAATATGAAAATCTCTTAATTTTGGGGCCAAACAATATGGGCTGCCTGGTATGGTTTGCGATGTAAGACAGAAAAAGGGGCAAGGCGGGGCAAGGCGGCCCCGGGATCATCCTAGGATCAACCCAAGAGCGCATCTTAGAGGCCAAGAAACGTGTAACAAAGACGAGTCTGGGGTAGATGTACGTGTACGTGTGTGGATATTGGATGTTGTATCGGAGTTAACGGACTTAGCTGGGCAGTGCGGTGCGGTCCTGCGTTGGTCCCAGTGCGACCAATATGTAAGAGCCAATAAGTTTCCTATCTCGGAGTTGGGAGGCAGGGATTTGATCTCAGGGGATAGCATGTCTTTGTTTGATATGATGAGACCTACACCATAAGTCCGGCAGACATTCTTATATCCGATGGGCATTTATAACGTATAAAGCTTCTTTTAAGCTCCCGCAGTCTTACCACAACCTCTGTTGATCAAATCCTTGAAAGTAGTCTTGATAGCTGTTGGATTGTCAGGTGACCACTTTATTCTACCGCTTTGTCTATCACAATGGCGACCGCATCTCAGAAGATCGTGCTTATTACCGGTAATTAAGATCTGCTTGATCATACCCCTCAAACCAATATTGGAGCTAACACGCTGGGCTTTGATACAGGTGGAAACCAGGGCATCGGATATGAAACAGCCAAGAACCTCCTGCGTACCTCGGCCTCTTACCATGTCATTCTTGGCAGCCGTAAACTGTCTAACGGAGAAGAAGCCGTGAAAAAGCTACAGGCCGAGACCGATTTGAAGGGAACCGTGTCAACCATTGAGCTCGATGTCACTGAGGACAAATCTGTTGATGCCGCCGCGGAGAAAGTAGCTGCAGACTACGGCCGTCTGGACATCCTCGTCAACAATGCAGGCATCGTTTCGCTGGCGAACCCGCCTTCCCGAGTGGAATACCGCAAGGTGCTGGACACCAACGTTGTTGGTTCTCTCAGCATGACAGAGGCCTTCCTCGATCTATTGCGCAAGTCTGAAGAGCGCCGCTTGGTATTCGTTTCGTCCAGCGTTGGCTCAGTCTCCCAGGCTGCCGACCCGACCTCCAAGTATTACAGCGGCAATGGCTTCGAGTACCGATCCAGCAAGGCAGCCTTGAACATGCTCATTGTACTCTACTGGAACAGTCTGCAAAAAGAAGGGTTCAAAGTCCATGGTGCGGACCCCGGTCTGTGTGGGACCAACTTCACTGGTAATGCCCAGTCGTTGCTCGATCGTGGTGCTGCCACACCTGCTCAGGGTGGTGAGCGCATTGCGACCGTTGTCAAGGGAGAAAAGGATGCCGATGTTGGCCGGGTGCTGGGAGAGTATGGAGTTTCTCCTTGGTAATTCTCTCTATATTAGGTCAGGGGTATATATTGAGCTGTATAGAATATAAATTATGTCATATTAGCGTATTTAATTCATCAAAATGCAAAAATATAGGGCCTGGCATGCTTACAAATTTACTGCCAGCAGTACGAAGCGGCGGAACCCTTAGCTGACCTCGGGAATATGTCACGCTTATCTCCTTATCGCTTTCGCGGGGATGACAAGACAGTTTTCCTATCGAACATCCATCCATATAGATACCGTATGCCTGTAGCTCGCATTGACCACTTGGCGCAATATTCGCCGATTGCCATTACCTAAATATTCACTGTCGGCAAACACATAACGAATCAGAGTGAGTGGAACTCAAACGATATGGGGCCTATAGGTTAATCTTGCAATTAGGGATCACGCTCGGCACCACCTGTAATACACGGATGGGCGCTGGCTGGGCTAACAGCTAGTGACATAGCGGTGTCGGCAATCTCCATTGTATACAACCCCGAGGTCCGGAGAGATCTACAAACCGCTCTTCTTATGCCTACGAAGCATCTGGATTTTCACTAAATATCTACTACAACGGACGGAAATAACAAGCTTTCCGGAGTTCACAATGACATATTCGATCACTGCCCTGGCGGCTGCATTTTTCGCTGGTATTGTGTTTTACAAAGTGTTAATTTACCCAGCGTTTCTTTCACCGCTGTCGAAGATCCCCAACGTGCACTGGAGCGCTTCCATCTCGCCGGTATGGATGCTATGGAGGCGATTCACAAGCCGAAACAACCGCACAATTCAGGCCGCACACGAGAGACTCGGTCCCATCGTTAGGCTAGGACCATCAGAGATCTCGATTAATTGTGTCGAGGGAGGAATTAAGTCAGTTTATGCTGGCGGATTTGAGAAGCATGACTGGTATCCACGAGTCTTCGCATCATTTGGGTTAGTATCAACACCGATTTAGAGTAAGCAAAGTAACTCACCATCAAACAGAACAGTGAGCATGTTCACCATGACAGGAAGCAAGACACATTCAACTCGGAAAAGGATGTTGTCCAATATATACTCCAAATCGACTCTGCAGACATCCCCTCATATGAAATTAGTTTCAGATGCAGTCATTTTCGATAGACTGCTCCCAATTCTTCACGAAGCGGCAACGACTAGCAAATCCGTCGATATGCATGATCTAAACCAGGGACTGACAATGGACTTCGTCTCCTCCTATCTATTCGGTTTGCACAATGGCACTAATTACCTGCAAGATGATTCGGTCCGTAAGCACTGGCTTCATCTCTACATGTGCCGAAAGCCGTTCGAGTTTTATGCCCAGGAAGTCCCATATTTGGATGGATGGCTGAGACGGATTGGTCTTCGCGTGATACCCAAATACTGCGACGAAGCCAATGCGATGCTTGATTCTTGGGCCCTGGATTTGTGCGATAGAGCGGAGCAAATAATTTCATCTTCCGTGCCAGGCATCGAGCCAACTGTCTACAAACAGTTGAAACAATCCCTGGACAAACATTCCACAAAGAATGGAGAAGCAAAACCAGACAAGGCACAGCAGCGACTCGATATCGCTTGCGAGTTGTACGACCAGCTGACTGCTGGCTTTGAAACCAGTGCTGTTGGCCTCACATATCTGTTTTGGCAACTTTCCCGACACCCAGAAGTGCAGGACAAGCTCCGAGAGGAGCTACTTACTCTGAGTCCCCCGGTTTCGTATCCAAAGACAGCCGATTTGCCACCAGCCAAGTCAATTGATAACCTGCCACTGTTGGAAGCGATCGTGACAGAGACCTTGAGACTTCATGCTCCGATCCCTGGCATTCAGCCTCGGGTGACGCCGTCCCCGTCGTGCACTCTAGCCGGGTATGCGGATATACCACCTAATACCAGAGTCAATGCGCAAGCATATTCACTACACCGCAACCCAGAGGTATTTCCAGAGCCGGAAACTTGGGAGCCGAAGCGTTGGCTGGAAGCTGAAAACTCGCCTGCTGATCTGGAAGAGAAACGCCGGTGGTTCTGGGCGTTTGGGAGTGGAGGACGTATGTGTGTGGGAAGTAATCTTGCACTGCAAGGTATGTATTGAGGAATGTGATCTATTGAATCATGCTGATTACCGTTGGGTAGAAATGAAATTGGCCGTGGCTGCGATTTACACCAACTTCCGCACCACCATTGTCGACGATGAGAATATTGAAGCCATTGACGCCTACACTGTGAAACCCACGGGCGATAAACTGATACTTAAGTTCGAGTCTGTCTGAGAGGTCTATGGAGGGAACATTGTACGCGCAGCTATTGCTACAGGTAGTATGAACTCAGAGTAGAATTAATTTGATCGGAGGAAAGGCATCATTATTGTATCTGAAAGACCAAGTGACAAGAATAACGGGACATTAGCTTCCTGGCTCGTTCATATAGTAGTCTTGAGTGCAATTTGCTAGGCTAAGAATAGTATCCATGTCATCATCTCATGCAGAATGACCTCAAAGGAGGCCCCAAACAATTTGGGATAAGTCTAGAACTTTAACCCGTTTGGAATTTTCTTCACCACTTCAAAAATGAATTCCCAAAGCTGAGTTCCTTGCGTCATAGGACTCAACATGGGCGGCGAGCAGCAGGATAGAACGAGATACCGATCATCTCTTCTCTTTACAATGCCTGCCGTGGCCTGGCAAGGCCTCGGCATATCCACCCCTGGCTGGTTCCAAGTCCTGGGAGTTTTCTTCTCACCCACTAAGCTCCGATAATGAGCTCCGGGGGTCGGTAGAACAACGATAGTTGGAGGCTGCAAATGGTGCATACTGACACCAAACAGCGTAAAACAGGCCCGAAAGCCTACGGGAAATCAAGTTCGAGGCATGTTGGGCTTGCGATTCCCTTCATAGGTTCGGCAAACGCCTCCCTGATCTCAGTCCCTTAAGGGTAAGATTTTCAGTTGTAGAGTTCAAAGGGTGGAGTGGAGGAGGGTCTGGGAATTGTATCCGATGCAATAGGCGGCCAACCATCGACTAACAATCTTCACCATGGACGATATCCCACAGAGTTGTTCGTACCACCTCATAGCCGTGATAACTGCTGTTGAGGTTTTGTTCTGGTGACTGATCGCCACTGGCGTTTGAGTGCAAGCGATCAGTCATCTGTAGTATGACCACAGGGCCTCGAGATGTGTGGACTGTATATGATTCAATAGAATTAGACTTGAAACTCTCTGGATACTATAGTATCAATTCATAGTGAATAGGAGAAATATCTTACCTCTGGGTCGCGTTTTGAACACAAATAGTGAAAGGCTCAAGCCGAGCCCGGTATTTTGGCGTTTGTAGCAAGTTCCCTTGAAAAGAATATGGAGTCAGGCCCAATGCCAAAGGATGACCATTGGACGAGGATAGTTGGTGGGAAGAATAGATATCTTGTCAGGTGGGTGTCCTTATGGACAACCCAGATCGCTCCTTCCATATTCGCCACAGTGCTTCTTAGGTACACATGTAGTAATGAGCATTTTATCACGGGGGTATATAAGATAAACCCCCATAAACCTGCTAGCGCAGACAGTTCACCTCAGCCATAATCCACATCGGGGATGGGAATCGATATGTATAGGAATCAAGGGAAAGCAAAGCATTCACATTGCTGGCCTCCAATTCACCGTCTCCTTGTTACGTGAAGTATCCATAAATGCATGAGTATAATGGAATAAGAGTTAATCAATTGTTTTGACAGGTGATTCCATATCCCACATAGTTGTATACTGTACATATGAGTTAAAGCCAACTCCCATAGCCTCTGATGCAAAATAAGCAGACCAAATCAGCAGATCCTGAGAATGGCCCGAGTATTCGCGTAATAACGTATCAAAAAGAAACCCAAAACTCCAGGACAACTCGCTTCTGCTGCCAAGTCCGGATAGACAATCGCGAATAATCCAGTCGTGCAATGAACATTTTAACCGAGAACACCATCCTTCTTCCGGGGGCCAACAACCTTGGGGTACATTCTCATGAGGTGGTAGTTGACGGTGTTCTTCTTCTGCTCCCGGGATTTCTATATTCGGGAGTAACTCGTTAGAAAGATGCTGATGATAAAGGAAAAGAACGACGGTGGGTTATAACGTACCGGTGCATCCATGCACTTCCGCAATTGAGCCTCGAGAGCAGTGCAGCCCTCTGCGCCGTATCCAGCGGATGCCCAGCAGTCTGTTTGCAACGCAATATTGTCAGTGACCAGATCACGAATTCAAGATTTAAGGTATTCGACATCTGAGCGAAGCCAGGGCGACAAGAGATTGACAGCATCAATGTCGACGCAGAAGATGGATCAACATACTAAGCATAGACGACATCACTACCACGCAGGGGTTCTGCTCATTCTGATTCGGCCGGCGAACACGGAGGTGGTTGATGGTGTTGAGACGCATCGGGTTCAGCCGGGTGGAGAGGGAGCCTTTGGGTGCCATGGTGGGCAATTATTCGGTTCGTAGAACTGGCAACAGGGGGTATCAATTGAAGCGAGAAGAGGCGAAATGCCTTGAAGCGACCGTGTGCGGGATTAACGATGGTAGACTGGCGCCGGCGACGGATCTTCGACAAACAAAATCCGAAGTTTCGACTCCGCGGAGGTGGATGACTAATCTTGGTCGCGCCCCCAGCTCTCTTTATCTACCTCGAAGGCTTGCCACCCTATTGACAATCCCTGTACACTCTTTCGGATGTCGCAAGCTTTATAAATCTAACGCGAAGTTATTGAGTATGCCTGGCGGATACAGTTTGCCAACACAACTTCGTGGTGTTTCTTCAACATTCACTTTTAGAGCTCCGATAGCTCCCGCATCTAGGCGGTTCTCCGCAGCATGCCACCTGAATCAAACATCGCCCTCTCCTACGACTAAGACGGAAGATAAAGATGGCAAAGATGTATCAAAACAGGAAGAAAAAGATAGTCCAATGGGACGCCGTCTGGCTCAGATGACTGAAGATGCAATGCTAGAAGGTGGACGATCTGCGCAACGCAACATCGAGCAAGCAGGGTTCTCAGAAGAACTGAAAAATCGGCTCGCAGAGCGTATTGCCGCTTCTTCATTCAGGAGTGATTATGCTGCTGCTCATTCTATAGTCGAAATGCCCGTATGTGATCCCTCTCATACCCTACTGTTCAACAACCACTAACCCGCGTTCCCTTATCGCAGTCTGCCGCAGGACAGGGCACACGAGAGAACGCCGCCGCTCCTAAATGGACAGGAACAGAGCGCCTTGAGGACACGACTCTACGCATGCTAGATGACGCGAGCAAACCAATTCGAATGCCTTACAAAATCCCCGATCCCGTGAACCTCAAACTCACCCCGAAGCCTAAAAAGTCTCGCGGAGAACGACTTGCCGAAGCGAAAGAGCGTACTTCGACCTACACCCTGAGTCAGGCTCCTGGATTTTCCGAAGAGGAGCGCGAGAATATGCGCCGTGAGATGAGGGAGCAGTTGACGCCCGGGGCGCATTCCATGCCAATCTCGATTTCGGGTCTTTCATCTCTGGCCAATGAGCGAATCGAAGATGCGATTGCGCGTGGACAATTTAAGAAAATACGTCGTGGGAAAGGCGTGAATACAAAATCCGATCACAATGCGAGCAGCGCATTCATTGATACAACCGAATACTTTATGAATAAGATCATCCAACAGCAGGAAATCGTGCCGCCGTGGATCGAGAAGCAACAACAGCTTGGCATGGAACTCAATCGATTTCGCGAACGTCTTCGAGCGGACTGGCGGAGACATGCTGCGATGCTAATTGCGAGCAAGGGTGGGTCCTTGGACGCACAAATGAAGCGGGCAAAAGCCTATGCTGCAGCTGAGACTCGGTTGGCGGAGAAAGCAAATTTGGAGGCTTCGTTTACAGAAGATACATCTGTCTCGGAGATCAACAGTGATGGCCGGATAGTTTCCAAGTCGGAGACACCCCAATCACCTACAATTAAGAATGATGGCGATGAACCTTCAGAGGATCTAGCCCATCTCCCACCATTAAGAGACCCCAACTACCTCGCAATTGAGCGTTCTTATCACGAACTTGCCGTGAAACAAATCAACACTCTCGCACGCTCATACAACCTTCAAGCTCCAGCCTCCGCCCACAAACCATATATCAATCTTGATCGAGAACTCAAAGCATGCTATGCTGCGGTAGCGCCTGAGCTAGCAGAAGAAATTAAACGCCGAGCGACCGAGCGTGCGCGTCCGTCATCAATTGTGCCGCCAGTTTCTTCCAGCAAGCTTGGGTCACTGGGAATGGCGCAGTCTGTACAGGTTCACGAAGAAGATCAGTCGAAAGGATATGGTATGAAACAGCTGTGGCGCGATTTATTCACTAAATCCTGAAAACAGCAAACGCCAAAACAAAGAACTCTCCACTCTTTCCTTCTGTTCATCCTGCGTGGGGCCATATCGAAGATAATAATACACGAATAATGTGCCATAAAACATGACGAGCAATGACACTCAAAAGAAAACAGACAAAGACGATATTTTCAGCGCCGCCTCCCGGCCATTCAACTTCCCACCCCATAACTGGACATTGCCCTCACGGACTTGGATGGAAATCTTCAGGGTCGCTCTTCTTCGCGGGTAGTGTCTTTCTCGCATCCCACAGCAGGACTAAGGGGTTAATGACGAGTCCGCCGATAATGGCACCAAGACCACCCCAAAACCCATTATACAAAATGAAGCTCGCAGCATCCATTTTCTTTGTGCTAGCAGCGAGAGCCGGCAAGCCCAGCACCAAGCTGAGGATAGAGAGAAAAAGCACAACGTATGTTTGGCCGAGGCGAATCCAAAGATCAACATTAGCCGTACGCCTGACCGCAACCGGATCCGGGTGGAGAACTGATGCCTCCCGTAGACATTTCCATGCCCTGAAAGAATTGCAGAGTTTGCATGTAAAATAAATCCACAGAAAGGCAGCGAGGAGAAGGAACAAAGCCCCAATAAGATACGCAGCAGATGCGGAGGTTCTCGTGTACATGCCTAGGTACCCATGTTCTGGTAGCCAGTCCCGACAAGTACAATAGGTCCCATCCATATCCCATGAGGAAGCTTTGGCAGTCATGTTGTTGCCTTCGTCTCGCTTGTGCATGGGGATGATGAAATGATGCCACGGGATCTTTGGGAAGTCTCCCTTGGGCCAGCCGGCTTGCTCGAGGTCGGAATCGCCGAAGGGTAAACGCGAGATGACTTCAACGTCTCCCACCCAGATCTCGTTGACGGCGTTGCCTTGGTCGTAGAAATGGTCTGACTTGACACCGTGCACTGCGGAGATCTTGTTGCCCATCTGGGCCTTGTAACAAATTGGTGAATGTGTTTTATGATATAAGAAGTGATGAATGCTTTTTTCTGCAACGATATTGTATATGGTAGACAGTGATGGATGGTGAGGATGAGTTCACTGGGGATACTGGGGATCTTGCCTGGTTGACCTGGGCCGGTGATATATCCTTCATATGGAAGGAGCAAATGAGGGCAAGCGCTTTGGGGTGTTTCTTTTGTAGTGAGAGAGATGAATCTTCTCGAATTGACTTGTTGATATGAGTGATTTGCTTCGATTCTCTGGGCTTAACATGAATATTTGTTTTGACCTGTTTTGAAGCTTGGATGAAGTGGACGCGATATCCTAGTTCGACTAAGAAATACTCAACAGCATTGTATTATATCTTGTAAATTATAATTGATAGAATAATGTCACTCATATCTAAGATTCTCAAAAGCTTTCTCTTAGAGAAGCTTGTCATTATAAGTGATACGAATTGATTTTTATTGTGGTGGCACTTGAGTATACTATGATTTTTGACGAGGAATGCCCTAACTGGAGATTCTAGAATTTCCAAATGATAATGTGCTTTATTTTAGACCAATTGAAATGTATTTGAGAAAATTCCAATGCACTCCATACCTCAATCACAAGTTAAAAATGTTTCTAAATTAGGTGCAAAGCATTTTGGCGGGAGTTCGGATTCTCCCCTGTGAGTGGTCGCCGCCAAGTGATGATCGTGCATGAGGGCGCGTATTTGTGACCAACGACAGGCTAACCAGGATGCCTTGACCTGCACTGACTTTCACTTCACTTCATCACATCCTATGCTTCCATCTTATACGTGACCCCTCCCCCTGCCGCCCCCCGTCACCTTTGGAACATGTATCACCCCAAATCCTGGTGTGAGATTCGATGTTTCGAAATGTCGATCGGTGACTACACCTACATTTAAAATTATTACTTTTCCTCTCCTATCTCTTTTATAATCCAGGCGCTGGAAATGACTCCCCCGGTAGTCTCCTTTTTGCCTGTCCTTTTTACTCTCTTGATTGTACATACTTCACCGGTTCAGGCCCAGAACATCCAACGTGAATCTAAGTCAGCTGCACCCCCAACAGTGGACAAACCCTTGCTAGCAATCCAAATTGGAAGCATTGTAGGAGCCTATGTGATCTTTGTCGCAGTCCTCCTAGCTCTACTTATATTCGTTGGACGTCGCCTGCGTCGGACAGTTCAGTCCTCCAACTATACACTGCATATGGAAATTCTGAAGCCTCCCAGACCTCCCATCAGCATGGATCCTAGCCCAGTCTCTCCAATGTCACACAACCTCCCCAGTCCAAAGTCCAGTGGATTTAAGTCCTGGGGGTCGTTGAACAGGAGTGCCAGGCCCTCTCAGCCATCCATGAACGGCAGCATGCTGACCATCGACGAGTCCATCGTTGCGAACGACCGACAACGAGCCCAGCATGACATGGAAATGCTGTACGCGGCAGTCATGGAACATGACGCCCAAAAGGCTTCTGGAGTTGATCAGTCCGTCCGTGAACAAGATTTCCAAGCACAATCACCAGACAGTCCTCTTACAAACCCATTCACTGACCGCGGCTCCCACGTCTCGGATACCTCATTGGCACCATTGGCACCATTGAAATCCCCTACTAAGGGATTCAACAGCTCCCGCTTATCCAAGCTCTTCAACTCAGGGTCCCGTGCCAATCCAGATCCAAGCAAAGTGCGCTCGCCGCGTCTGGCTATCCGCAACATGCCCATCTCCTCTCCACTAGCTTCCCCAGCAGTGGTCACGCCCAAGGCTTATATACCCGAGAATCCTCCTCTTTCCCCGAGGATTTATAACCCCGGTCCTCCTCCAGTGGTGCCGCGGCTACAGGCGAGCGAGGCAATCAGGCCGGCTCCGGGGCGTGCCCGTCCACCCGCGCCTCTAACACTATCTACTCACTCGCCTTCTTCATCAATTCCGTCAAATCTACCGTTCCGTGAGGCGTACCCGCCGCAAAGTGCCCCCGCTACCAAGACCACTATTTTGGAACGGCCGATAAAGAACCGGGCGGGTCCTGTCACGGGCATGGCTACGCCATATAGTCCGTACATGCCGTTTACTCCCGTGACGCCCTTTACCCCCGGGCGCACGGTGACAAAGCGACAACGGAAGCGGGAGGAGCGTGGGAATGGACTCCAAGTATTGAACGAAGATGATTTGGTCAAGGATGATGATGATATCTGGGGATGATAACAATCCAGTACGCGATATGAATTAAATTAGGAAATCGGGCGTTCATGTGCAATATTCTATTCATCATATATCTACAGGGAAATGTTCACACATACATACACTGGCTGTATAATTCTATTTTAGAATCTAATATCTCCACAAGCATAGCCCGTATACCCATCTAGACATAAATCTCAATCTAAATCTACATTTTCTCCTTCAAATGCGTGTTCCCCCTAACAATAGCCTCCGCAAAATCCGACCTCGTCCCTGCCTTCTCAAGGCTCAAAAGCGTCTGAATAGTACACCCCCTCGGTGAAGAAATACTCTCCCTAACAACAGCAGGATGCTGCCCAGACTCCAAAACAGCCGACAACCCACGAATACCCTGCAAGACCAACTCCATCGCATCTGCCCGCTTAAATCCCTCCGCAACACACCCATCCAACAACCCCTCAATCGGCAACGTCAATGTCGCCATCGTCGCACCAACAAGTACAGTTGCTAGTCCAATCTGCTCAGAACCTAGGTACTTTACCGCACCAACATGCTTGAAAATCCACTCCGTGGCCGCAACCATAGACTCCGGGATGGTTGACGCGGGAGTCTCAATAATCGTCATCGACTGCCCAAACTGCGCGCCCATGTTCGGGATAGCTTTCATGAGATGCGGTTGGTCTGCCGCGTCGGGGTCTGGGTTGATGAGGCGCGTTAGAGTTGGGCATGAGGGGCCTGCGAGCATGCTGATGACGAGTTTGCCGGATAGGGCTTTGCGGACGCCTTCTTCACTTAGGACGGCTTCCGCCATGAAGGGCTTACAGCCGAGGATTATTATGTCTGATTCTTGCATTGTTTGAACGGTTTGGTCGGAGACGATTTTGATTAGTTGTTCGTGCTCTGGTGCGATTGTTGTCTGTAGACGGGCTGCGGATTTGGCTGTTTTTGTGCACGCGATGAAGCGGGTAATTGGCTTTGGTGAGGTTGTTTCAGTGCCTGTGGTTGAGAATGCGCTCTTTAGGAGGCCGTTTAGGACGGCGCCTCCCATGTTACCTTGGGGTTTGTTAGTGGTGGTTTTACTATGGAGGTGTTGTGGTTACTTACCGCATCCAATGAATCCGAGGGTCTGTCCTGAGGCCATGATGATGTTTTATGTATATACCGAGAGAGATGGAAGGTCAATTGTGTTCTGAGTTGAGGGGTTTGGTTATCTATTTGACTCATATGGATCTCGGGTGAGGTGTCCGACATTGGCGGCAGCCGATGCCGAGATTTATGCATTTTATAAGATTTTACTAGAATTAAGAGTAGGGTCCTTATCTTCATCTGAAGTTGAAATTGAGATGATACGCCAATTGCCCTTATCGAATGATCTCCATGCTTTTTCTCCATGTCCCTAGGTGGATATATGGATTACTTCCTGAAATCATCCGGATCTAGAGTGTTATATATACCTAGGTACTTCCATCATAATCGAGGCTGCCTAGAATATAAATATGGTCAATTTATTTCATTCCAACCGAATACGACTTCAACTCGTCCGAATGTTATTTATACCTAATTCTTGCCTCAGGCATCAAACTCGCCCTAAAAGTGGCGTATAACAAATTTCCGGATTGGGCTTGGCTTTGCATCCCGAATGCAGCAAGGATTCCCACTATCTTCGATCTTCTATCTTCTATCTTCTATCTTCTAGTACACTTTCTCTTCTTTTGACGCATAGGCCTTCTATGATTGTCAAGATCTGAGCCCTCCTATGAGTTGAATCCATTGATTTATCAACTGTTGTTTTCTCAACTTCGCTGATCGCCCCGCTCTTCCCCCACCTCCCAGGTCGCAGTTGTCGTCATCATCGGAGAAGGCGAGTTTGCTATTTCCGATCCCCGAAGTTATTTCGGTCATCCCCTGTTTCTTTTACTCCATTAGGACTTGGCGTGGATAACTTGTGTGTACAATAATAGGCTGTAAGTTGTTTCACTCTTATCTTGGCAGAGGCGCGGTTTGGACTTGGCTGACTGGAACTTCTTCGATCTCAGACTTTCTCTTCCCTTCATCCCCCACTACTCGTTTACACCTCTCTCCTTTTTGTGGTTTCAGTACGAACCGCCTACATGCCTCTCACCGTCCTCTCCCGATCACAGCTCCGCGAGCTGCTACATGACCTCTCTCGCGACGAGATAATTAATCTGCAGCGCAATCTCGCCGAAGCTCTACGAGAATACTCCAGTGGATCTCAGGAGGAAGGTTGCTCAGCAGCTTACCAACCCCAAAGAACTGCCATTACTCGCAAGAATGGCACCACCACCATCTTCATGCCCGCCAGCACGGGCCAGACAATCGGCATCAAGATGATTTCCCTGCAGGACGGGGGCGATGCCGGCTGTACCATTGAACGGGACACTGTGGATATGCAAGAGAAGGAACAGACGCGCCGACGAGGCTCTTTCCGAAACTCGGTGGCTTCCATATCCTCCGACTTGAGCGATTTGTCTGTGGGCTCGGAAGACAAAGAGGACAGTAACTCGATCAGTCCCGTCACCACCACAACTGAAAGCAGCGTGGCAGGATCCAGCACGGGTAGTTCGACACTCCTCACTGGTTGTGTCAATCAGCAGAATGTCACCTCGAATATTTCTCGAACTCTTGGCGCTTGGCCGGGCGCAGGAACTCGTGACACATCGCCGCGCGGCAGCGTGACACTCCTAGATGGCGAAAGTCTGCCCTTCGCCTTGATCAACGCGCACGAATTGACAGCATTCCGCACAGCATTGGCTTCGCTGATGATGTTCAACAGACGCAAGAAGGTGCGCACGATTGTTGTATTCGGAGCGGGTACCCAGGCTTACTGGCACATTCGCTTGGCGCTGGTTCTCCGCGGCGAGGACATTCGCCGGGTATACATTGTGAACCGTTCATTCGAGCGCGCAGCCAAGCTTCTTCAAGAGATCTACCAGCCCGAAAATATCGAATGGCGCGGGGACGTCAAGTTCTCCGCCGTCAGCACTGATTTCGGCGAGTATAGTCGCGTTTTGAAGGATCATGTGCGCAAGGCCGACGCGATCTTCTGCTGTACACCCTCTCCAGAACCACTTTTCCCTGCCGAGTACCTCACTTCAGGCGAAGGCCGTCAAAAGGGCCGGTTGATTTGTGCGATTGGATCATACAAGGCACACATGGCCGAGATTCACCCGGATATCCTCCGAGATGAGGTCAATGTGCAACCTGCGCATCGTCATTGGCACAAGCATATCCACCGTAGTGGTGTGATTGTAGTGGATAGCCTAGACGCGGCGATGAAAGAGGCGGGCGAGATTATCCAAGCCGGAATCAGGCCGAAACAGGTTGTTGAGTTGGGTGAGCTATTGATGGTTCGTGATGCCACCCGTGATGCCGCCACTGTGGATGAAGAAAAGAGCCTGCGTGAATGGTCACAGCGGGGGAATGTCATCTACAAATCGGTTGGGCTTGGACTAATGGATCTCGTGACTGGCGGAGATTTGGTGCGCTTGGCACGGGAGCGGAAGTTGGGGACCACAGTGGAGGATTTCTGAGGAGTTTTGTGGGCTTTGACTTTCGATTCGATACCTTTTTGCTTATTTTACTTTGCTTCCTATTGGCTTGATTGGGACTTGTTTTGTTCCATGGAAGTTTCGACGATCAACAGAGATCTGCCGGAGAGCCACCAATGTTTAAATCAAGAGAAACTTGAAATAATTGAGATAACAATACATGGATTAATATGGCTATGGCCTTGATCAGAGTATACCATTCTAGAGCTAGAAAAAAAAAGAAGTAATATCATCTATATAATAATATAGCTTGAAGGTCAACTAAAAGCTTGTACACACCTTTCCAAGTACGGTGATAGTGGGCTGATGGTCTGCGTCATCGGGTATGTAACCTCTCCGAGAATCTTACCTCTTTTTTTTTTTCCTCTGGGCAATCTTCAGCTTCGCATTACCAATACAGCTATTGGTATTGGATATCTTTGCTTTAGCTGCGTTAGCTGCGTTAGCTACTGTTGTTGGTGCACGATTCTTTCCACCCCGCGCAGTGAGGGGCTAAAGCAGAGATAAAAGTCTACTTTTCTATAAGAGGTCTTGTGACTCCCCAGAACACCTCCAAAATAACCTCGCCATGCGAAACACTACCTGCTACCTGCCCAATGGCCTCACCTTCAACGTCTCGCCCGTTTTTGGTGGGTTCACTTTCAAATCCGCCGATTTTAACGTCCAGCACAACTCCACCTTCCCCCCAGGTTGGACAATTATAATCCACACCGAGAAGCTTCCCAAGCCGGACAAACAGAAAGATGAAGCAGACCCAGAGAAACCCCGCGACGACGAAGATAATTTCACCCGTTTCACCACCCCCACCTTGACCCGCGACTCCCTCTACATCTCGTATATAGTCAACCCACCAACAAGCGATTTCAAGCCTGTGACCTCACCCACACGCCAGATCGCCATGATGCTGTGGGCAACTCTATGGTGGTACTTCCACGAGCCCGAACCAGACCTCCACGTGGAGACCGCGGCGTCAAGCATGACCCCGCGCAACGGGCGACCAAAAGGCGAATGGCGGATCAACGTCAAACGCGAAGGAATCTTCAAAGGCCGGAACCTGCTCCAGAAACTTGAACGAATGGGCCTAGTAGCGACCGAAGACTCCTCTGTCGGCCTCCAGCCCATGGAAACCCGCGACTCAAGCAGCTGGTCCACGATGTTCGTCAGCCGACGCAGCTTCTGGCAGCTCGACCCACGTCTATTCCTCTTCACCCTCACGCCGAGCAGAGGCCGTCCATCAACACCTCCCTACCGGTCGCGGAATGTATCGCCCGCACCCGACAGCGGCCCAGCCGTCGCAGCGCCGCTGGCGCTAGCGCCCATGGAAGCAACCTTCCACACGGCGAATATGGGCCCGTTCACCTCGGTAGGACCGTTCACGTCTGGCAGTCATTTACCGACATACTACCCGCCGCCGCCATTGCAGTTCACCACCACGAACGGGGTGCGACACCCCGTGCGCCCGAAACCGCCGCACCAGGGCGAGGTCTTCTACGTGCGCTACATCCCTAGTCTGAGTCAGTATCTCTCGTTCCGCGTGGCGTTTGTGCCGATGACGGCGCAGGGGGCTACTGAAAGTCGACCCGGGACACCTGTTACCTCGTCTGTGACGAGCATCGCGCAGCATCTTACTGAGGATATCTCCTCAGATCTGGATACCCTGCACCGGTGGATGAATGTACCCCGTGTGGAGGCGATGTGGGGTGAAGGTGGAGAGAAGCATGTGCAGGAGAAGTTCTTGCTGGCTAGTCTGACTAGCCGACACAGTTTCCCTGTTATCGGGTGCTGGGACGGGAAGCCGTTTGGGTACTTTGAGATCTACTGGGTTAAGGAAGATCGGCTGGGACGACTTGTGGATAATGTGGGTAATTATGATCGGGGGATTCATTTGCTCGTTGGAGAACAGGAGTTCCGGGGTGCGCATCGGGTTGCGGTTTGGTTGAGTGCGTTGGTGCATCACTGCTTCTTGTCGGATATGCGAACTGAATCTGTGGTTTTGGAGCCGCGGATTGATAATATAAAGTGAGTTGTTGACACCAACTTGAGGGACTAGGGAAAGGAAGATGATCATGCTAACCTTTCGCAGACTCATTAATTACCTCCAGCAAGCAGGCTTCTACAAAGAAGGCGAGGTCAGCTTCCCGCATAAGCACTCTGCTATCATGAGAATCAAGCGCGAGTACTGGGAAAGCCCGGCTCTATAGAGCTGCCACAGTGGCGATTTGCATTGAGACGATCACGATTTACGAGACAGCTAGCATTGCCTGGATTTTGAAATTTCTTGATATTTGACTTGCTTGAAATATTGTCTGGGCCATTTGCCATGGGCGGCTTATCTCAATAGAGCGACCACTCCTGACCCATCATACCCTCCGAATGACACCCGTAGACGCATAAAGTCCTGCCCCAAACAACCCGCAAAGATCAGTGCCTTAGCACAAACTCCCAATGAAACCCTTCGATTTCGCAAACTCATAGATTCCCCAGATCCATTCACTCGTGTACCTTCGCCAGAAGCCTTCTTTTCTTGGTGATAGGCTCCTCCACAGTAAGAACGTCCAGGTTGCTCAGAGTATGCAGTGTTTCCCTCACTTCGTAGAGAAGATCAGCTGCGAATTTAGGATGTTCCTGAGTCATCAAGTCATCTGAGGATTCATAATCATCTTCCCATTGGAGGTACCGTAGAACGAAGGCTTGAGCCATGACACGGCGTACTGGATGGCGCTCACTCAAAAAGATCGCCTCATCATCCAGCTTGTATCGCGTATCAGCGAGACGATCATTTCTGGCATAGATATCCTTGATGTATTCCGCCAGCGCGTCTTCGATCCAGGGAATTTCGTACATTTCCGCCAGTCTGGCGAGCTCTACGGCGGCTTGGATGCGCATTTTTTCTGAGATGTAACCCCACTCGATAGTGCGCTGGTATAGCCATTGAAGAAGGGCTTCGAAACTCCGGGTAGACAAAACGCCTTTGATTTGCTGTAGGGTTACTGTTTGTTCTTGGGACTCTCGAAGTCTACCTTCGAGCATAGCTGAGAACACTGGAGATTCCGAGCAGAGGAGGTTCTTCGACACCGTGTATTCTCGGTTGATCGGTTCGATTCGAATCGTGATGAGGGGACCATGGTAAAGCGGAAGAGTACTAAGTCAAAGCGTTAGATATGTCGTTTCATGAGGAATATAGCGGACATACGAGGCTGCAAAGGATGGGATTTTCGTGTCTTCTGAAGTATCACTCATTTTGAAGGTAGTGAATGAGTATTGGGAAGAAAACCTTGGGTCGTATTGAGATATGTTGATAGGAGAAAGAGAGAGGGGGGCAAAGGAGAAGGAAGATCAAACAAGGTGGGAGCAAGGTCCTATCCGCATGAGGCGGAAACGCTGTCTCGACAATGATCGATTGACAATCTAAAGAGAATTGACTACTACCTGTTGGAGTTTCCCATTCGACCAAAAAGCCTAAAATTGCAGTAGGCGAGTATCTTTCTAGCATTTTAAAAACCCCTAAACAAGTACGCAATCTGTTCTCAGTCCTGCATTTCTACCTATGCTCATTTCAAAGGCTGAGATCGATATCATTGCTTAGGAATAGAGATAAAAGTAACCCATACGGGCCTCTCAACGAGACCCGTAGATTCATGACAGTTCTCACTCAGATAACCGCCAACGAATTCCTCCGATTTCGCACATAGAATTGCCAGACGAAATCAAACTTCCTCAAGGCTGCAACTCAATCTCTTCTCATGTACCATCTTTTCCTGTCAATGGGGTCTTCAAAGTCAACAGTGTTATGGGGCCTCAGGGTACTCAGGGCCAGGCTGACTTCATGCAGGAGGTCAGCTCCAAATCTGGGGTATTCCTGAGCAATCTTGGCGAATTTATGCTTTCGATTTTGGAGAAACCCTTTGACGGAGGCTTGAGCCAACAGAGGGCGAACGGGATGTCCATCGCGCAGGAAACTTGCCGAAATAATGTCTTGGTCATTTAGCCAATAGGTGTTGTTGTCGATAGGGGTGAATTTCTCCGTCGCAGTGGGATCGGGGTTAGCAAGAATAGTATCCTTGATAATATTTGATAGCTGTGGTTCAATCCTGGTCACCCCGTATTTGTCGGCGAGCCTTGCAAGCTCGATGGCAGCGGAGATATGTTCTCCGGGGGTTTCAATGTCGAATTTGACGACCCCAAGGTATAACCATTGGAGAAGTGCTTCAAGGCTTCGCTGAGAGATAACGCCTTCCATTTCTTCGAGGTTTACTGTCTGCTCTTGGGCTTCTCGAAAAGGACCTTCGAACATGGCTGTAAAGACTGGTGACTCTGCGCAGAGCAGCTCTTTTGAGACTGTATATTCACGGCCGTTTTGGATTCGAATTGTAATGAGGGGACCGTGGAAGAGGGGAAGCCTCCTAGAAAATAAAGTGTTAGATAGTGGACACTGGTCTCAAGTAACACCTTACTTACGCCGTTGCAAAGTGCCCAGCACTCTCTTCGGACGTCTTGCTCATTTCAACTGACTTGTCAACGACTTTGAAGGAGGTGAATGCTAGCTTGATATAGAGAGGACTGACTGCTATGAGACCGTCAGTCGTCATAGAAGTCTTGGTATGCTTGCTGGTTGTAATGATTGTGGGATGGTGCGATGGCTTTGTGGAATGAGAGAATGAAAGAAAGAAAGAAAGAAAGAAAGAAAGGAAGAAAGAAAGGCCTTCAAAGCTACAAATACAACGATCTATCAAACTGCTCAAACTGCCCAAACAAGCAAACAAGCTGTGCTCAGTCTCTTTTGATCCCAATGTTATTGCTGAGCTCCCCAACAAGACCTGTAGACGCATAGCAGTCTTGCTCCAAATAATCCCCAACTATTGTCCCCATACAACAAATGCCAAGGTAAGTACCAACAACTAACAATTTCCCCCAAACTAAGACCTTGTAGATTCCCCAGATGCAATCACACTTGCACATCAACATTTCATCCCTGTGGAACCGGATCTCTATCTAGCCTCCTTCTCTCCCCGCTAAGAGGGTCTTCAAAGGTAGTAATACCAAGGGGTTCCAATCGGTTCAGCACAAGCCTCACTTCGTGGAGGAGGTCAGCTGCGAATATAGGATATAGCTGAGCCATCTCGGCATGTTCGTGATTTTTGCTTTGAAGATACCCCCCAACGCATGCTATAGCCAAAAGACGGCGTACCGGATGAGCACGAGGCAAGCAAATTCCCGCGTGAATTTTGTCAGAATGTAGGCGATGGTACAAATCCTCATCAGGGTCGGGAGATGGATTGGTCAGAAGAATTTGCTTGATGAATCGGCTTTTGGAGATCTAAATTGTCGTTCAACAGGGCTTTGAAGACTAGCGACTTTGCACACAGAAGTGCTCTAGAGATAGTCCATTCTGAACCACCCTCATCTTCGAAGAATGTTGTTATAGTAGGACCGTGATAAAGGGGGAGCGTACTAGATACCGAAGCGTTAGAAAGTGAATTACATTCCCAAGTAATCTTTTACCCACGATATTGCGAAAGGTGAACTCCACAAGGAAGAACCAGTTGATTGGAACATTGCGATGGTTTGACTGTTTGAAATGACTGACCATGGGTTGTAAAGGAGAAGATTGATGAGTGCGATGGAAATGGCTTTATATGATGACTTCAATGCCATTTGTTTGTCTTCTATGCTGTGACTACAAACATCAACCCAACATAACTGAGTGTACTCTATTGACTGAATGAGATCTTTTCTGGGACTTTGCTCAATTTAGACCTTCGATTTTTTTACCTAGGCTTCCTTTGATTATCGCTGTGTAGCAATATCGGTAGTTGTAATCTCCATGCGAGCATGCATATCGTAAAGCATGTCTAGCCCTTGAGAAATACCCAGACTCCGTCTCCCTTTGATTTTCAAGTGCAGCTCAACTCCGCTTAACTCCTACCCAAGAATATTTCTCCTTCAGTAAAAGGATCCGTGAAGGAGACATTGCCGCCAGAGCAGTGTGAGGTGTTCAAGGCTAGTCGCACTTCTCGCAGAAGATCAGCTCCAAAGTTAGGGTAATCCTCGGCCTCCTGGGCGAATTTGTGGTTCTTGCCTCCGAGATACCCTGCGACGCATGCTACGGCCAAGGTACGGCGCACAGGATGCTCACGAGGTAAGAAGCTCCCCCAGATGATGTGGTCAGATATGAGCCAGGTGTTGTTATCATTGCATACCGAGAATTCGGGATCTTGGTAGTCGATGATATATTGGATATAATCACTCACATCGGATTCGATCCCGGTAATACCATACTTGTCGGCGAGCCTTGCGAGCTCTATGGCAGCCGAGATTCGATCTGTCTTGTCCTGGATATCAAACTTGACAGTCCGAAGGTATAGCCAGTGAATGAGTGCTTGGGTACTCTGTGTGGAGACAATGCCTCTTTCCTCTTGCAAGGTTGCTGTTTGCTCTTGTTCTTCTCGAAATCCGGGCTGGAACATCGCCGAAAAGACCGGAGATTCTGCGCACAGAAGGGGCTTTGAAACTGTGTATTCTTTTTCGCTTGGTAGAAGTCGTATTTTGATGAAAGGGCCGTGAAAGAGCGGGATAATACTAGGTAGATGAGAAAATGTTAAGACACACCTTTGCCGGGGAAACACGGCTTACTTACTCAGATGTGAATTGCTCAACCCTTCCCTTGGTTGGGTCCCCCATTTTTGTAGGCCTCGAGAAGATAGTCGACTGACTTTCAAGGTAAGAAAAAAATTCAAGCCCTGAAAAGTCACTGTGGATGATGAATGGCGAGGGTGTGACTTGATCCCGAGCGAGGTCAGATCTGGAGGAAGAAGTGGAGAATGAGACTTACTTTGGCAGGTTCAGCCATCATGGATGTTACCTCTGTAGGTAATCATATGCTATATCTAAGTATTATGTATGCAAAAACCTGCTTGCACATCTTCCACCACTTCCACCATTTTTACCGCACACATTCAGCTATATAGTGACATCTAGAAAGGAAATATACGAAAGGCATCATTGGTCCGGTAATTATAGATTGCCCCACGTAGGTGACCACCCATGCTGTAGGCAATCTAGCTATGGGCCCTAGTCTGCGGATTTAGGATCCACCATAGAAACCTCGGAGTCCGTACCTGCCCTTTGGGAAGTAACCCCCCATGCACCCCTGCGGAAACGGGCCGAGATCCATTCAGACCCGTTGATAATCGGTGATCGGACCTTTGGGACTCCGGTTTGCCGCCTACCTACATAGGAGGATGGTATACGGAATAGACCAGGATGCCCAGGTATATATTGTCCAGACTTTGCCCCTCCCTCCAGCTCTATTTTCACATTCCTACTTACTGGCTTCCGTTCTCACGCACAACACACACTGCAGACCAAACGACATAGAGACAAAGAGAGCCGAACTTTTTAGGCAATGGCACCACCGTCGCCCTCATACACTAAGGTCATCCACTCCGCCACCTATGATGGCATCAATCCGACTCAGCCCGGCCTCTCCTCTGCGGGCAAGGTTGTGTTGATCACTGGCGCATCTGGCGGCATCGGCCGGGCCACAGCCTTATCCTTTGCTGCATCAGGCCCCCGAGCCCTCATCCTCCTCGGTCGACGCGCCGACGCCTTAGCAGAAACTGCCAACATTGTACATGTCAGGCATGCAGAGGTGCTTATCCAAACTTACGAGGCTGAGCTATGTGATGCTGCGAGTGTCCGAAATGCTATGGATAAGGTGGCTGCCGAGTTTGGCGGCATCGATATTGTTATCCACTGCGCTGGCGTGCTAGCCCCCGTTGTTCCACTTCTGGATGCCGACTCGGCTACTTTTCTGGACGGCTATAAGACTACCGTCGTCGGTTCGTTGGTGACCGCACAGGCTCTAGTCTTGGCAAACAAGAACGTAAGCCCCGACGAGGATAAACCAGTCACATTGGTCAATCTTACGACAGCGGGTATCATATTTCCCCTGTTCCCCGGCATGGGCGCCTATGTGAGTAGTAAGATGGCCGCTGTCAAGATCCTACAGTCCTTCGCTGTCAAGAACCCGCAAGTACGGCTTCACAATGTTCATCCCGGATTCCTCCAAACAGCTATGTCTGCTAAGCTGTCAGAGTCAATCAAATTACCGTTCGCCTTTGATGATAGTAAGTATAACTGATATTGTCCTCGGCTGCTCCATCTTTATATCTAGGGAACTAACAATCATTCTTTGGCAGTCTCCCTTCCCGCAGACTTCCTTGTCTGGATTGTATCCCTCGATGCAGAATTCCTTAAGAACAAGATAGTCTTCGCTTCCTGGGATATTGAGGAGCTCAAGGCTCGTAAGGAGGAGATTGTCGGTGGCCCGTCGGGCACTGGTGAGCTCTGGCTCGGCTACCAAGGATTTCCGCGATTTGTGGGCGGCCAGCCTTTGCCAGGCACTCAGTAGGCGAGTGTCCTCTTCTATTGGCAGCGGCCATCCCAGGATGAAGGGACTGCACAGCCGCCAGTCTATTAAAGAATACATGTGCCATTTACATAGTCGAGTGCTAGCATAAGGACACCAACGAAAGGAATTATAGAATTGCTCAGGGAATAGTAGCTGTGAAGTAATAAGGAAAAGTCCATTGCCAACATGACTAAAAGGTTCGAGGCATTTAAAATTAATATATTTTAATGGTATTCCGGTATTGGATAATGCTAGTGACTGGTTTAGGTGGAATTGGAAGGTCAAGGAGTTCATTCGCATGTCTGCCATTGCCGACGAAGGAGCGATTCCACCAATAGAAGAAGAAGCACGGCAATGGACTTACCACCAAATTTCTACTCTGCGATGATCACGGCGAAGCTGACAGACAATGCGGCGCCAAGGATCAACGCCTTCAAGATTCCTCGAGTTCAGGTGCTTCTCAAGGCAGTTCAAGGCAACATCAAACCAGGAGGCTCTGGCACATATATTAACCTCCAACAACAATACATGTCCCTTGCATGGGAGAAGTGTGGGAGCGCTCAAGCACTCGGAGCAAAGATCCGGAAGATCCATGCTGAAAACCCCCTCCTTGACCCTGAATGGGTGCGCAAGGGGTGTGGGGATTGAGTTCAATGTTCATGCAAATAGACTTTGTACAACAAGGATTTTACATTACATATTACAGTTTACAGTATTACACGCGATCCGAATTGAGTAGTAAGTTTGATTGTCCAAGTAGGAGGTAAGTACATCAAAAAGTACAACGTACATCGAGGGCGAGGGCGAGCAAAAAAAAAAAAAGTCTAAGCATAGTGATTCTTGGATAGCATCGAGAGTGTAAAATGAGTGAGATGTAAGACCATAAGCATAGACAGACATACAAACGCCGAAGTTACACCCGAGGCAGATGCAGTAGCGAGTGTGAAGGGATAAAAGACGAAAGGAAAAGCGTGGAGAATAACAACTCTGATGAAATCAAGCTCATACTTGATGTTAGATGACGTATGTAAACATCAAATGGCAAGTGTGAGCGAGGGGTATTGGCACATGTGCGTATCAACGGGTGAACAGCTTTTTCAAAAGCAGAAATATGGAAATGTGAAAAGGAAATAAAAGTCATATGGGAATGTTGATGAGGGAATCGATAGTCAGATAGATAGGAAAGATGAGGGATGCGTGAATAGGTAGCATCGGTGATTAAGTAAAGATCAGATTGCTAAAGGAAACACAAAAAGAAAAGAGAAATCGAGAGCCGGCTCGATTAGTGAGACCGACGACCGCCCATGTAGGAGCCGGTTGCGGAGGCGAGGAAGCGAGCGACGAAGCCGCCGCTGTGTGCGTGGCTGCTGGTCTTCTGCTTCTTGGATGGTTGGCGGATAGGCTCGAGGGACTTCTTTGATTCGATGTGAGCGACGTTGACATAGCCGTAGTTGAGAGAGAGGGAGGCCGGGCTGCGGGATGTGTCGGTGAGCAAGAGGTCATCGGCACCCTGGGAGGAAACTGTGCTGATGGAAGCCGGTGTGCCTCTCGAGCTTGGTGCGACGCTGGAAGAGCGCGAGCAGAGAGAGTTGAAGGTCTCGGCGTGGGAGAGTGCTGGCACGTCGCAGACGGATGGCGGGGAAGTAGAGCGGTTAATTCGGGCGGGGGATGCGCGCTGGCGCTGGTAGGGATTGTAGCGTTCGTGTTCGGCCACGTTTTGTGTTCCGTAGTGGGCGTTGTGCATTGTTGGACAGGAGACGTGGCTAGGGAGACGACGGATGGAGCTCTCGTTTCCGCGACGGGTCTCGCCACGGGCTTCGAGCTTTTGACGACGGAGGCGGCTGGCCAGCAGATCCGCTGATGCGTGGAGACGGCGCCTAAGGGTTGGTTAGTGGGTGTCAGGATATTAGACTATAAAACGGGATGCCATACCATTCGCGGTGTTGTTGTTGTTTGCGGCGGTATTCCTCCTCGTCGAGACGCTCTTGCTCTTGGGCGATGAGACGCTGGCGGTGGGGGACGAGGAAGGGCTCGAGGTAGGTGAAGAGGTCCTGTTCACTGATGCGCAGGTCCCAATCCAAAAGGAAGAGAAGCTGGCGTTCCATGAGGTTGACCTCGGGGAGAGAGAAGCCGAAGCTCTCGAATCCCTTCACTGCGGTGTAACGGGCCCAGTGTTTGTTCTTGGGGCTGGAGTCGTTCAGGTTCTTAGCGGCGAGGATGAGTGAGGCGAGGAAGATGCGGTGCACTGTGCATCGCATGCCCTTTGCGACTGGGGGCAGACGAGAACGAAGACGACCGAGGTAGACGAGACAGCTCATGAGGGTGGGCACCTGCACCTGCGACCGGGCGACGAGTGAGGCGATGAAGGCCTCGATTGAGGGGAGAGCAGGCAGGTCAGAGGGTTCCATTGGAGGGGTGGATGGTGGTGTAGGTTGGCCGTTGTGGTTGACAGTGTTGGTCACATGCGCCTCACAGCGGATGACCTGGGCTGCTTGTTGAGCAAGGTATGACACCATTTCACGAGTCACCCGGGTAGTAACGAACTCATCGAGAGCCGCTCGGTTGAGTGTCAAGGAATCCATATTGTGATTGAGGAATATGATAGAGAGGGGTGATAGAGGTAGGATGTCGGAGAAGAGGTCGAGGATGGGAATTAAGTATGTCGATAAATAGGCAGAGATCAAGTGAGATCAAAAGGCAATGGATTGTCTCGAACAATCCAATTCAAGGATCTTTAGACGAAAAACGAGACAAAGGTCTTTGTGTTTGTATCAGATGAGAGTCGACACAATGTGAAGCAAAGACGAAAATCAGATCAAAGACCAAACACAAATGTCGAATTGAGAAAAACGAATTCCTGACCAGCAGGATAACTTTCAGATGAAGTACTTTCTTTTTTTCTTTCCTTGAAAAAAGAATGTTGCAGTAAGGATGGGATAGTTGGGGTTGTCGTGTCAACGCCTATCGATAGCCCTAACTGAGAGCTTCAAAGTGAGACCTGAGAACGATATTTATTCGAGACACAATCCACAGTTCACTGCAAGTGAGCAATAGATTGGAAATAATGTTTCTGGTTGAAATTATTATAGAAAAGGCGAACTGATCAAAAGAAGAGGGCAATTATAAAAGGAAAGGATGACGACGTTGAGCATGTGGATGAATCTCGTGAAGAATCTGGGCGGAATACCTGTCTAGTTATAGTATCTGGTATGCGCCAGAGTGGGAGTAGGAGGGGGGGGATACGGTGTTTTCCCCTGCAAGGACGGGTCATCCAGTTAGAAGACAGAAGGATTTGGCCAAGCACAGGGGTAGAATAGAGAGAACCTGCATAGTTGGATCTAAGATGCTCCAACCTTTTTGGCGCGCGGAGTCTGAGACGAAGGAAAGTGATCTGATTTGCCGATAGAGAACGGGTGATGTACACTTGATAGACTATTATTGTACCTGTGCGTTATTATCCCTAGATTCATCCAATAGAGGGTGGCGTGCCTCATTTTGATTGTTGGTTATTTCCAACGTTGGACATTTAACTGGATTTACTTGGTCAACTTGAATTCTACGTGTGATAGTATTGTACATTATACATTAGACCAAAATAAGGGGCATATTGGCATCCCATCCAACATCACAAAGTCGGCCGATCCAGGATCGCCCATACAATACGGAGTATAGGTTCCACTCAATTATTCAAGAACTATGAAACTCGCGATCGTCTCATAACTACGGGTCATTCCATTCCTTGAACGCGTACCAAAATAGTAAATAGTCTATTGACAACATAGGTCCTACATAATGTTACCTTACTGCCTAATCTTTTGTACGAATCAAACTAAGAATCCAACAAAACCAACATGTCAATCACCTAAAACAAACCTCAGCTGAAAAAAACAAAATGTGGCGATTTCAAGTTGGCGCCGCGAACTCGCGTTAGTGCCCAATCACTCGAAACCTGTCAGTTTCCGATCTGATCACCGTGGGGCGAGACACCTGGAATCCCTGTCAAAGTGTTCCTTTACAGCTACAACTGTCCTTTCTACGGAGTACACTCCATTTCCCCTCTCATTGGATCCCCCTGTCACGGCGCGAGTTTAGCGTGTTCGAGGGATATGTTCAACATGCCCGATGACCTATGACCTATGACCTCTAGAGAAATACCAACAACCAACAGATAATTATCCGAACCTTGAAGTGATCCCGCCTCACATAAGGCAGGTCACATCATTCCAAAGGTTCCCGATCACCCTTTTTCCTTCGCCCTTTGGATCTATCGAATTTACCAACCTCCTCCCAACCACTTTTTTCCTTTTCTCCCCGACCCATGCAGTAATGCAGTAATCGAGTGGGATGCATGCAATGTTCCGTGCATAGCACTCTTAGCATGTTGGTTCCTCCCATTTACTCCGTACTCCGTACTCCATACTCCATCCACACCCTCCCGTAGCCTAAAAAAAGGACAGAACACACTGCATATGCATACGGAGTACACATGCATCTATATAAGCGCCCGTCTTCCCCCCCGCCAGCGTGATTCCCACCTTCCCGCCCTTCCGCCCAGCGCTTACAATCCCAACATCATGGAAGCGCTGCGACGTTGGGTGTTTCTAATTTTACATTTTACATTTTCCATTTGACGCATTTTCTTTGTGTTTTGTTATATTCTTAGATGTTTCTCTACGCGCGCTACCTCCTGCGTTCTCACTACCCCAGACCCCATGCGCGGGTCGTCACCCGCCATCCCGCCTGAGCCGAATCAGTGTGCGATTTGGAATGTTGGTGGGAGACTGCGCCTCGTTTCAGGATCGGGCGTCTCGCTCTCGTGTCGCTGTTGGATATGCGGTTGGATGAGAGTGCTTGATACACTAGGTTCTTTTTTTGCGATATTTTGGTATGCCCACAGGTGTTCGCACAGATGTTCCCACAGCTGTGGGAACACCTGTGGACTAGGCTCCATCGTTATGGGGCCGTTGTGATCCTGAGTGTTTGGTGGAGATAGGCGCTTGGATGGGGCGGTTTCAGGATGGTAGGGCTTGTTTCAGTTGTAGGGTCGGCGGTTAGAAATCATCTGGGTGAGGTCTACGGGTGGGATTGGAGTGGAACACTGACTATGCGACCGTGTGGATGGAGGTGTAGCACGTTGATACTAATGTGACCATGTGTCTTATTGATATTTATAGGTGTATCTATTATTGGAAGTGCGAATTATCGCTCATTCCCAAGTTGTGTGGATTTTAGTGTGATTTCATTTCTCAATGAATACACCATCTCATCCAAGTCCTAATTATACATTCTCTCAGACCACCCAACTCGCCGTTTAAACAGCAGAGTAAGAAGATCCAAGTCTCAATCACCCACTTGTGCTAAAACTGTCTGACTGACAATTTACAGAAGCTCAACCCAGTAGTTGGAAACAGTCAGCTCAGCAGTACCGATGAAGGGCTCAGTGCCAGCCTGGACAGTCTTCAAGTACTTGTCGGTGGGCAGACCGTGGTTCTGGGTGAGGTAGTTGAAGAAGTACAGCAGGTCACCACCGAAGTTGGTAACGGCAGACTTAGCGACGAAGCTGTAGACAGTCATATTGCCGTTGGGACCGACCCAGACATCCCACTCCACACCGTTAAGAGAGACGGTAGCAATGGTCTTTCCGGTGCTGGAGATAGGGCCGGCACCACCGATAGCGGCAAGCCAGACCATGATCTCGTACTCCTCACTGCCGGTAGGAGTAGAGCTGAGGAACAAGTCGTACGCGACATCGGCAACGATGTTGGTGTTGGAGTAGCTATTCCAGAGGTGGTTAGCGGGTATTCATCCTCAACCACGTGCACCGGTGTCAAAAAAAAATTTACCTCCAGGTCCAGGCGGACTTAAGACTCTTAACGGTGCTCAGGATCTGAGGAGTGAACTTGAGCGCGGCACTGGCGTAGCTCTTGACCTGGTTCGTGTAGGCACCGCCCCACGAGTAGGAGGTGTGCCATGCGACGGCGTTGCCGTTGCTCCAGTCGAGAGTGGTGCACTGCTTGCCGTTGGTATCCTTGGCTTGGTTCCAGAGGTTGTTGTAGATGATGAACTTGTCAGTGGTGGTTGTGCCCCACTGGTCGCAGAATTGGACGCTGCGAGCATTCAGGGCTCCGTTGGCAGGGACGGTGGAGGCATCGCCCACGGCGGACAGAGCCAGGGAGACGAGAGACATGGGGGCGATGAAGGACTTCATGGTTGCTGTTGGAACTGGTGTTCAGGGTGGATGAGGGTTGTTTTTGAAAAGGGGGCTCGTTCTGGTGGCATGAAGTCGGGTTTGTCGGTCGACTTTATACTGTTTGTACATGGCTTCATTCGGAGGTCTGCTGTTTAGGGAATAACTTGAACTCTAGACCGGTGATGGGCTCACGTTTCGTATAGAGCACCGAACAGTCCTGTCTCACTTTTCATATTGGGGGCGTGCTATTTCCTATCCAACGAGATCGTGAGCAGCACCCCACAACATCGGATAATACCAAAACCTAAAAAAGCTTGCATGGGGCAGAGGCTACGGAATACGGGAAAGATTGTCGCATAACGTGTGGCTGTAGCCAGGAACCCTTGTTCTGCAGGGCTTTGTTCGTTCCCTCCGTCGTGTTTTATTCGTTTCCCTATCGAGAAGCTCTCCGTTAGCAGCGAATATGAGACGACGGCGTCGCAGAGTGGGGCGGGGGCGAAGGGTTACTTCTAGAACGCGGTCAAATCGGAGATGGTGAAGGTATCCGCTTTATTGCAAAATCCCGAGAATCCGAGGTTCCCCTGAATAAACTGTCAACTTGAAATATTTGCGAAGTTTCTCCGAGGGTATTTAGACCCTTTCTGTGAGTGTACTCCGTATCCATTATTTGTGCAATGTCCGAACACATGGTCAAATCGACTAGTGCAAGGAGGCCAATCCACATAGGCCAATCCACAGGGTCATTTGGGTTCTTCAGCTGCACGTGCCCCACAAATCATCTCCTTTAAGTCGCCGGAAAAAAAGGCTGCTGATTCCGAGACCTTGGCTGGATATGTCCTTCACGGAGACATGGCGGAATGCCGACCGTTTTTCAACGGGCCATGATCGACATTTTGACCTTAAAATGCACGTCTAACTACTCCGTACAGGGGTCCCAAATGGTTCTTCATCCGGATATCGCCTTGAGGGGTATGTCCTGTACGGAGTTCTCAGAGCAGAGATGGGTGCATCATAATCGTCATCTGCTAGGATCCTCACTCAATCACCAAATTTAGCCTTTATTTAGCCTTTATTTAGCCTTTATTAGCCTACTGGCTTCGCATCCTTCACATAGGTCTAGCATGGCATTTTGCTGGTGACAGAAGTCAGCAAGCACGAACCACCCTCGTTGTATCACCTGGAACAGACAGTGGCGGTCAAGGCAGCAGTCAAGGACCTTGTGCACGTACCAAACGAAGCCGGCTACTTCCGTGAGCACTTGGCGGCAGGAGAAGCTGTCTTTGATATTGGATACACCAGATGGTTGTCAATGGAAGTATTTCATACTGGCATGTGGAAATCAGGCTCTAATTGTGATTCACAATGGTTGCCACTGCGTGACCTAAGTCTAACTTGCCTGTAGGATACCCAGCCGTAGTGCATAAGAGTGGAGTATGAGGTTATGGCTAAAACGCGGTGTAGGGTAGCCAGTGTCCAGCTGATCCATGAGAACAGGGCGTTCCTTTCAGACAGCATTAGCTATCTGAGACAGAGTGGCCCCTGTATAGTACGTTATAGTAGACATGCTAGTCTATACAGAGTAGCTCCCATGTGTGGGACAAGTCATCCTTTGCCAAGAACTAAAAACCAATAAACCGTGATATAGAGTGCCCAAGGACTTGTCTTAAAGGGAGTGGATATAAGAATGATGCAAGAATAAGGGGTAATCGTAAAGCAACAGTATAGGATATCTCTAAATTTAAATCCCTAACTAGCAAAGAACAAAACATCAAAGCAATAGGGACAAGATTCATGACAGACAATATGTATGAATGAGACAAGAATAAATCAAACAAGTTCTGAAGTGAACAAACAATCAACAAAGCAATGGAAAAAGAATTTCATGACCAACAGACAACATGTAAGAGAAAAAGGAAAGAGACAAGAGTAAACAGACATACAGGCCTTAGGCAAACACACTGTCAACAAACATCAACATTGAAGAAAAGAACTGTCCTCAGGAAGGAACCCTTGGACAACAGAGCGCTATCTCTGTTGGGGGGGGGGGGGGGTCCAAAANCTATCTCTGTGGGGGGGTTCCAAAAATTGGCTCAAAGAGCACGGTGTTCAGCTCCCACAGGTCAGTGGAGACCCCAGGAAAGTACAGTCTGTTATCCACAGAGGGCGCGGGGGGAACGAGTCCGGGCCGCGACATGCTTCGTGCCATTGGACCAGGACCAAGGCCCCTATCCATCAGACTAACCTGCACCGCAGCAAAGACCAAGGGAGACTGAACGTCCAGGAACCACGATGTGCAATGTGGACCTGGAGGGTTGAAGGAAGAAAGAAGAAGAGAAAGAAAAATGGGGAGGACGGGGATATTTATACCCTCCCAGTAGCTTAAGGCAATGGGGAAACTAGGGTTGGTGACGATTTTGACAAAAATGGAAGGCGCCCAAAAAGGAAGGCATACATGAGTGCATGCGTACATAGAAGTTACCAGCTACTCTGATATCTTGCAAACGATGTAAACTGCTAGCCCGGAAGCTTCGACATCAATACATCCATAGATATACCCGTGCAGTCCTAGAGTCGACTCGAGATTAGGTACGCTTCTATCAAGACATATATTGTCCATTTGCAGGTCAGATATCTCAGTCTTATTTACTAAATAAACACATTGCTTAGGCCACATCTGTTACGGTTCCGGGGTCTCATCAAGTTTTTCAAGAATCAGTCATGAATCATATCAGTGCAACGAGTATGTAGATCACCAATGATTTCGGAATGATGAGATGTCTTGCACTACGGTCTAATAGGGTTCACCCAGCACTTTTTGGAGAGAAAAAAGCCACAACATAGATGTTTCCAAACGCTCAGGTCTCGTTCTAGTGAGCCCTGTTCTCTCCTTTTCCTTCTAGCAATCATACCAGCCAAGACAGTCAAACTAGCCATGCGTCCTAGTACCAACAGCCCACCAGACGTAAGCCCAGCGAATGCAGCGTTTCAGCATCCGAGAAACGCCAATCTCTTTACCCAATCCGTTGTCAGGAGCGAAGATGTGACTCCCAGCGAGATCAACAACAATCGCCCTTATCACACTATACCCAAGCTGCAGGGAACGGAAACTGGATATTGGCATTACACCCCAAGGGAAGCGCTTTTCGGAAAGACTGGTCTTGATCGTGCGACCTATAACATCGTACACTTCCTACTAGTGTAGAAAGGCGTCTGCTTTTTCACCGGGGGGTACAATGAAATGGGCTACTTAAAGAAGAAACCTGGAGAGGGTCACCTGCAAGCTGTGCTAGAGACAGCATCGGTTGTGCTTGATCAACTCTATCCTTGAAATTCGGGGCACATGATAGAAAGATATATCTCGGCATGCGCTCCCGCGGACTGCACCAACTTGTCTAAGGATTTACCATTAATATTTTCAACAATCGTGAAACTTGCAGTAGCCATGTTACTAGAGCAGACAGTTGAGTTCAAATGTCTCTTTATTTAGATATTAATTTTGAATAGATTAGATCCACTCAGGGGTACGGAGTATGCAACATATGATGTGTAATCAATTTGAACCTCGGCATCTGGGCAGGGGTGGAGTCGGCATTCGGGGAAATTCATATCAGAACATACATGAACTTCAATGCGAAATCTTGTTTTCTAAGTACCTCATATACAGATATCTCAAATTTAGAACTGTTTGCTTGGAAATCCTTTGCCATTGAGGGTTTGATAGGCACTGCAATATCATACTGAGCACCGTCAAAATGAAAGAAGCCGTGGTATCAGAAGACCTCAAAGTCACTATCCAAGATGTGAATTTCCCAACAATTCCAAGCCCAGACCATCTCATAATCAAGGTGCATGTCTCTGGGTCCAATCCTAAAGATTGGGCGATGGCCGAACGATGTGAGTTGGCGACTTTGATTTACCAGTAGATTAGAAGCTCTACTGATGTATTCTACGTATAGTCCCTGGCATCAACCAAGGCGATGACATAGCCGGCGTTGTGCACTCAGTTGGCAGCAACGTGACTGAGTTCCGACCAGGAGATAGGGTCGCTAGCTTCCATGAGATGCTAAGCCCACATGGAAGCTATGGCGAATACGCAGTCGGGCGCGCAGATACCACATTCCACATCCCTGAACAAGTCTCTTTCGAAGAAGCCGCTACTATCCCGCTCGCTGGTATGACTGCTGCCCTCGGGTTATATCAGAGACTTAACCTACCTGTTCCCTGGCGTCCCGCCCAACAACGGCTCCCTCTTGTCATCTATGGAGCTGCGAGTGCCGTGGGAGCCTTCGCTGTCAAATTAGCTTCTCTATCCAACATACACCCATTGATATGTGTGGCTGGTCAGGGCGGTTCATTTGTTGAGACTCTCATTGATCGGTCAAAGGGGGATACTGTAGTTGATTACCGCAATGGCGACGACGCAGTTGTCGCGGGCTTGCGCGAAGCGCTGGAAGATGGCGAAAAGCTGGAGTACGCTTTCGATGCTGTGACCGGGAAAGGAAGCTATCAGAACCTGGCAAAGGTTTTGGACGCAAGTACCGGCAAAATCACCGTCGTATTGGCGCGGAAGACGTATGAGAGCATACCCGATAGCGTGGAGCTCTCATATACCCAAGTTGGGAGAGTTCACTCTGCCAGTTACCCCGGAATTAAAAGAGAAAAGCGGCTTCTAGGTGCCTTGAATGATGAGGATTTCGGGCCCGTGATGTACAAATTCTTTGCAAGAGGGTTGTCCAAAGGTTGGTTTAAGGGCCATCCCTATGAAGTCGTTCCCGGGGGATTGAAAGGGATAGAGAGTGCTCTGCAGGATCTGAAAGGTGGGAAAGCAAGTGCAGTCAAGTATGTTTTCAGAATTGCCGAGACGGATGGACTGCGACAATCTCGTCTGTGATGTGTTTTGATCAGGACCATATATATACGCCGAACTTTCACGGGATCAACTGACGAATTCCATATTGGTCACGCGAGTGTTTTGCGTGCTATGAACATAAATTCAATCTTTCCCACTCTATATACTATTAAAATATTTATACTCTCATAATCTCTTCTAGTAAGCCCTGAGCTGGCATGTACTGGCCCGTACCAGAATTCATGGAGATAGTACGGCTTGATGCATTAGAAACATAGCATTGTATTTTCTTTAATGTAAGCTGCCGTATTGATACAGATATAGGAATATCTATATTCCGTGGGTTATCCTAATATAGACTAGCGTGTCTCGGTGCTGGAGGTATGAGAATCAACCGAAGAGTGCACAGGTGGTCACACCGGGATGTACTACTCCGTATATGTTGGACAATGTACAGTGCCTAGTGTAGGCAACAATCATTGACGAAATGCATTATCGAGGACGATTGGCCAATAGAAGAGACGATATTTCGGATTGCGAGCATCCGGCATGGCCTGTTGATGCGTCAGCCAAAATAAACAATGCAAACACATACAAACACATCTACAAACTATCCCAAACTATACAAACACTCTACAAATCGAATATCCAATACATGGGAAGTGTAGGTATTCAATTGATATATTAATATATGAGACACATTTGAGCAAGGAATTGATTATTTATATCATGTAGTAATGAATTGAACCAAAGCGAGGGAGAATCTCAATTGTTTTGCTTTGATGCCCCACCGGGTGGAACTCCGGGGTTTTCGCCAGGGGCTGAAATTAAATTTAAATGCTCGATTGCCTCTTTTTTCTACTCCAGGACCTTTCCCCAATCCCCACGATGCCTTCCAAATCCTCCAAGTCCTCCAGCTCCAGCTCCGGCTGCCGCTGCCGCTGCTTCTCCCTGAAGACCCTCAGCTACCTAGCCATTTTCCTGGCGTTCTTCTCCGCCGTCTACCGATACCTCGATGCGCGCCTTGAGCAATTCTACATCTTCGACCCAGAGCACCTGCACGATGTCTCTCAGCGCGCCATCAGCGCCCACGGCGAAGACACCCGCTCCATCGTCAACTTCATCGTTGCCGAGCTGGAGCAGAAAGTCGGCCCCAAGTACCTGAGCACCCAGGAGGAGTGGGTATTCAACAACGCCGGCGGCGCAATGGGCGCCATGTACGTGATTCACGCCAGTATCACCGAGTACCTGATAATCTTCGGTGAGTTTTGCGCCCGCGACAAAGACTACTATATCCATTTCCCCTTCTAACCACATTGGATTTTTCCCAGGTACCGCTATTGGAACTGAAGGCCACACCGGCCGCCACACCGCCGACGACTACTTCAACATCCTCCAGGGAACCCAGCTCGCCTACGTCCCCGGTGAGTTCAAGCCCGAGGTCTACCCCGCCGGTAGCGTGCACCACCTGGTCCGCGGCCAGGTCAAGCAGTACAAGATGGATGAGTCTTGCTTCGCGCTCGAGTACGCCCGTGGTTGGATCCCTCCCATGCTCTTCTTCGGTTACGCCGATACCTTCTCCAGCACTCTGGACTTCCCGACCTTGTGGGCTACCACCCGCATCACTGCCCGTGAGATGGTCGGCAACTTGTTGCAGTACAAGCTGTAATTGAGGATACCATTTTGGCTTTTTGTTGATATGGAGGCTTCAGTTGGGTTTATGAGGTCTATGTGGAATGTATGATATGGGCATTGGTTGGGCACCTGGCGAGGTGCTGTTCCGGTTGTAAAAGTTACTGGATACTTAATTGGTAGTACCGAGCATATTTTTTAATGAAATCATCAGCTGAGGTTGTCGAGCTGCCTCTGGGACACTGATCATGGAATTGAGGCATGACCTTCGAAGTATGGAACGATACTCCCACGTAGTACCACCAGTGGTTATTAGTAGACTGCCGGAGATCTATATAGTTCCAAGTGACCTATAGCTTTAGATAGATAATCTCACTGCAAAGTAGTCACATCCTCGCTAGGCGATTCCTAACTTCTTACTTGACTTTCCCCTTGGAAGCAAAGACATCTTTTAAAACTAACATTTGCGCAGCTATCTATAAGATACCAAAATTTTAGTTAAGGCTCAGGGTCCAGAGGTTGTCAAAGTGAAATTCAATCATCATACCCAGCCTACCTAGGTAGACCCCAGTGAATTGAATGAGTCAGTGAATAAAAATCATCTTCAAAGTAAATCGATTGTCAGAATAAGCTCTTGCTGAGCTGTGACCGACAAACGGACCCTCTGCGAACTGGATGGCTATGAATGTACAAATGGACAGCTCTATAAAAGCTTGCAGTTTGCTTGCGCATCTTCTCTTCATCTTTCATCCATCTATCAAAGTCTGCAATCAACGCAAATTATTTTATCACACCTCACTTTCTACTATCCTTGTTCCTAACCTTTTATCCACTTGGCCTCTTCGTCACCACTTCATTCCTCTGGCTATTGTTTCACCTGAGCACAATAGCCCATCATGGCTGGCTACTGTGGATGCCTTTGGAATGAGCCGGGCACCTGGAAGCCTCGGTACCTCCCGCAGGTCTCACTCAAGGCCCATGCAACCATCCTGTCTTCCGCAGCCCGTAGAACCTTGACACAGACATTTTCAACCCATCTGACAAGGCCATCGAAGAGATATCCTACAACTTCCCTCTTTACGATGGTGTCAGTGTTGTAGGGTTCGAATGTAAGGTTGGATCTCGTCTGCTGCACAGCAAGGTGAAGACCAAGTCACAGGCCAATACGGACTACCAAAATGCTGTGGCCCAAAATCAGACTGCTGCTGTCATGGACCACACCTCCATGAATGACGTTTTTGTCATTCGACTCGGCAACGTCCCTGCTCGTGGAAAGATCACCGTCGACATCACTTTCGTGGGAGAGTTGAAACAGGACTCCCAGACAGACGGCATCCGCTACACATTACCAAGCACCATCGCTCCTCGCTATGGAGCTGGAGCCTCTTACAGTCAAATGCAATTATCTTCATTAGGTCCGCCAGCCAACCTTCAAGGAATGTCTATCACTGTTGATGTTCAGATTGAGAAGGGTTTGGTGATACGAGAATTGGAATCCCCAAGCCACCGGGTCAAGGTCTCCCTCGGACGTGTATCTTCTACACCAGCAACATCCGCTGCCTTTGAGCCGTCGCAAGCATCTGCCTCTGTCATTCTACAGAACAATAGACCCGTGGTTCTTGAACAAGACATTGTCGTTCTCATTAAAGCGGACGGCCTCGATACACCTTGCGCATTGCTTGAAAGGCATCCAGCCATCCCTAACCAGCGAGCCCTGATAGCAACACTCGTTCCAAAGTTCAACCTGCGACCGGCTAATCCCGAGGTTGTCTTTGTGATTGGCAGAAGTGGAAGCATGGGGGACAAAATCCCAACCCTGAGATCTGCACTCCAAGTTTTCCTGAAGTCTTTGCCTGTCGGTATCTGCTTCAATATATGCTCTTTTGGGAGTTCCTATTCCTTCATGTGGGAAACAAGTCGGGTGTACGATGCAATTAGTCTGCAGCAAGCTTTGGAATTTGTTGGCACCATCGACGCGAATATGGGTGGCACCGAGATGCAACACGCAGTCGTCGCTACTGTGCAAAATCGACTCAATTCCAAAGATCTGGATGTAAAATCCTCACCGATGGGGAGATATACCACCAGAGTGAATTGTTCGACTTCGTCCGCGAAAAGGCTGCTGACAATACTGCTCGGTTCTTCTCCCTTGGGATTGGTAAAGCCGCATCTCACTCTTTGATTGAGGGAATCGCAAGAGCTGGCAATGGATTCTGCCAATCAGTTACGGAGTATGAAGAGCTTGACCGTAAGGTCGTCCGTATGCTCAAGGGTGCTCTGACCCCTCACGTCCACGACTATAAGCTCGAAGTTGAATATGACACCGAAACAGAGCAGGAGTTCGACTTTGTGAGCGAGACTGAGAATATTACCGACTCTGAGACTGAGATCAAAGACAAGGAGGGAGATGGAGATGTTCCCAGGGAAGAAACAACACACAGCTCATCGCAGCCAATCCTATTGTACGACGAGAGCTTCCAGGAACCCGATGTGGATGTTGATGCCAAAAAGAGAGCAACTGTAAAACTTCCCGCTCTCACCTCTCCAAGGGTAATCCAAGCTCCCTACAACATACCACCCTTGTACCCGTTCATCAGGACAAATATCTTCCTCCTAATGGACCCGCACTCGTCCGAGAAGATCCCTACTTCCTTGAGACTCAGTGCTACTTCCCACGACGGTCCACTAGAGCTGCGGATCCCAATCTGCGACATCGTAACCGGCGAGACAATCCACCAACTAGCTTCACGCAAAGCTGTGATTGACCTCGAAGAGGGACACGGCTGGCTTTCCCATGCCAAGGGCGAGAACGGAAACGAATTCAAACAGCTCCACGCAGAGACAAAGCAGAGGCTTGCAGAGCATGAATGCCAGAACCTCGGAATCAAGTTCCAGGTCACTGGAAAATACTGCTCGTTCGTGGCCTTGGAAGAGAGCAGCTGTTCGTCTTCGGAACAACATATCCCGAAGGAACACACCCCGAAGGAACATGCCGTAGAGCGAGTTTCTCCAAGTTTCCAGTCTTCTAGGTCGTCATATGCTCCAGCCGCTGCTAGAATGATGAGTTCTAGGTTCTCGAATGCATGCGCACGCACTGGTGGCTCGCAGTATTGCGAGATCCCAACGTTTGATTCAGAATTTCCCAGGCTACTTTCAGTACTACGGAGCATCACAGTGTACACCCATGGAACCTGGAGGCTTGGGCTGTCTGTCTAATGCACCTAACTTACCTGCAACTCCAAGACTTGGTGGCTTTAACCAAGCCCAAATGGCAGCAGGGCCTCCACTTCAGATGGCGGCGGTTGGCAGACCCCGGATCCAAATGATGGCAATTACAAGGCGCGGGATTCCTATTCAGACCGAGACTCCTCCACAGACGAGAATGCACGAACTTATTCAGCTGCAAAAATTTGAAGGTAGCTGGATGTGGTCGACCGAACTCTTTGAGCTTTTGGAGTGTGACATGAACGCAACAATGGAAAAATTGGCGATACTGTACCACCGTGCTAATCGAGAGATTGAAAATGGGTTCCCGCATGGCGACGAGGCTACGGTTATCGCAACTCTGCTTGCAATGGAATGGCTACGGAGGAGGCACCCAGCGTTGAGGGCTGTTTGGGAGCTTGTCTATGCCAAAGCTTCCGAGTGGGTTCGACTGGAGTTGAACAAGATGCGGAGTCAGGGTTCACCTGCGGCTATCATAGCAACAATGCAGACAGGGATTTTTCATATGATCTAAGAGACGGTCTCGGTGAAGAAGGTGGATTTTGATATTGGTTCTTACACATTTGCTTACAAGATTGCTCAGGGGATGACGATACATATTTGCTTGGAATTGGGGAAAAAGAAAGAAAAACACAAAATACTGGATAGTTTTGCAATGGAAGGAAAGCCCTCATATCATTTTTTGTTTCAAAAATAGAGATAATGACCTATGTTCATCATCCGACGCTATGATACGTATGTAGGTATGGGATGTACTCTTTTCTCGTCGGGAGGATTTTCGCAATATGATCGATGTAGGCAGCCCCCGCACCAGGTTAGACTTCAGTAGTGGTGACTACGAGGGAAATAGGGTCAGCCTCGGCCACAGGAATGTAGGGATGTGGGGATTACCTCGAGAGGAGCTTTGAACCGCGACCACGGCAAGCGTGCGTGAGTGGTGGTGGTGGAGGAGAAAAGACGGAGACGATTGCGTAGGCTTTAACGCCCAGGAATGAGGGAATCCCAGGAGTTGAATGGGTGCGAAGTCCGGCATATCCAGGCTTGAAGCCTAAGCCCTTAACCTTAAGTTGAGGGCTCTTGATTAAGAGCGCTGTTATCTCACGATTGAAGGTGGCTAGAAGGGTTAGATCTCTGTATCGGCGTATGCGGAGGAATCGACGTACTATTCACGAGCCTTGCTTTCCACACATCTTGCCAAGACAAAGTATCAACCACATGTTGGGAGATTTTGACCAGGACCTCCTCGGGAAGTGACATTTTGTTCAAGACTTCTGAAGCGATCCGGTATATGTGGACCGAGGTGAGGTTTGATTTAGATATACGAATGTATCAGGATGAAAGTCGGGCATGGTCCGTCAAGAAAGTCGACGAAATTGAGGTACGGTGAGTCTGTATGTGGTGGTCAAAGATATGCAGAGAAGGACAGGAAGATTGAAACAAGATAAAAGCAGAGTGAGAAATCAGGGACAGGAGAGGAGAGAAATAAAGGTAGAGGAGTAATTGCATTGACCTTCTTTGTCAGGCTTTCACATGCTATTTAGCTGGCTTCAGTCTCTTTTTAGATAGTACCAGGTTTATTTTTCTTGTCTCTCTCCCCTCTTGTCAAATTTCCATTTCAGATGGTTGTTTACAAATGAGCTTCTTGGGGTTGAAAGCGGGTTGGAAGGCTCGGTAGATGATTTGGAGGAGAGATGAAGCAAAATGACTAGACGATTGGGCTCTGGCTAATTTAACTCTTTGGTTAAATGGCCAGACTCTTCATAGAGCAAATTTATAGAGAACGAGGACAGTAGTGAACGGGAGGAATGCTAAGTTCCTATATAGTGAAGGTGGTCATGGAGGCAACTCTCCCTGTGCCGGAGTCCTATAGTAAGATGCGAGTTGATATATATACCCACAGCCAGCTTTGCAAGAACAGGATACATACATACAAAGGAATTGAGGTCTGGCAAACAAGGAAATTGTAACAACGTTGGCCTGTAAGAGACAAACATTTACTACCATGACCCTTAGTGTCTATTCACCGGACATTGGAGACTGTATTTCACCTTCATTTGTCATAGACCTAGTTCTATATTATTTTTTCAGTCACACCAATGCATCTTCAAATGGTACAGATATATCGCATGGACGGTTACTGCATAGCATACCCTCAAGGATCCTACGGCGTCCGACAGATGACCTGTGTTATTGTCTCCAGAGCAGTAGACATAGACCCGAAGACTTAAGCATCACCACACGCAACATCGAGGAGGAATCTAACTGCCCCCCCGGCAAGGCAACATGCACCGGCTCATATTAAATAGCTATATCCCCAATCAGTTTGAATCTGTCGACCCAGGCAACGATCTTCTCAAGCACATCCCGCAACACCACGGTGCTTCTACTGGAGGTCTTGTACCGCCACTACTTGCGGACACAAAGATGCTTTTGATCATCTGCTAATTTCATTACTGCATTGGTGATGTCCAACTTGCGGGCGCTAAATAATTACAGACTTGTTTTGTGCTCATCTTCGGGGAGATCGATGGCCTTTCCCCAGTAATCAACTGGAAGTGGTATGGCCATTACGTGATAATTGAGAAATATTACCTGTTATGTAGAATCAAATGATTTAAATATTGTGTTTTCCTTTGTCTCTATTAAATTGAGAAGGTGTGGGACATATAAGCCTCCCGACTTCTACTCTTGCAATGGGGACGGGTGTCTAAAATTGTGGGCATGAAATCTTTCTAACCACGTGGCCTTCGCGCTTAAGACTAGGGAGGCGTGATCATTGTATATTTAGTACGGAGTAGCCTACTCCAATTTTACCCCTGTTTCGAGGAAATGAGTGAAAGGCGTGACGCACCCCCTTTCCAACTATGCTCGCGTCTAGGGCTACGGCGGCATACTGATTATTAGAGAGACAGCCAATAAGAAGTGATAAAAAGAGCCGTCTTACTTATATAGGGCCGAATTTTCCCCTCTTAGACTAGTTAATCCTGTAGCTTAGTTAAACTAGTAGGAGACCATAGCTTAGTAGCGCTAAATGGTAGGGTATGGTTAACAGGCATAATAACCTGTTTCAAACCCCAGTAGTTAGTACGGGGTTTCATAGGCTACGGATAAATTCTCTAAATTCTATAAATAGAGATTTACTAAAGCCTTACTAAAATATCTAATCATAAATAAAGAGAAGCGCTTATAGTCCTAAGACGTATACTCCGTATACTAGTAAGAATTGTCCGTGCTGCATGTAAATATGCAGGTGTTGCCAGCGCACAGAATATGGATATGTACCCTGCCACAGCCCGGGCGAGAACTACACTAATGTATATGCACCTACTTGCTTTTTTTGCTTGTCATACCAATACTGATAATTCTTACCAATCAATTACTATCATACAGCTTATAGCTTTAACTATATTTCATATTCTGTATGGACATCATAAGATGCACTTTTTTATGGTATCCGCAGCCATAGCGGTCTATATATATGTACAGTGACTACGCAAAAGTGTTAACACCCCTTAAGACCCACCTATCCCACCGCCCGTAGCTCGGCTCTACCGC